TAAATCACCTCACATTGTGTATATGAGATACATGGAATCAAAATACAAGGTGTGGCCTAAACCACACAACACCTTGCAGAATGCCTATATAGGTGTGGTGGTTCAGGATACCAAACTTTAACCACAGTATGGCGTAGTGTGGTTGAGACCACACCACACCTGTGGTGTGGTTGAGCTAATTTCTGGAATACACTACAGAACACCCCCAGAATCAAAATGGTCCATTCAAATTCCAGACCCCTATTCCTACAAACGAAATGGACCAAAGAGATTTTTTTTTTAGAAAATAAACTCTATAGAAGAAAGGTTGTCAACAACAAAGTGGTTGGAAAATAAAGTTTTCAAAAGCAAGTAGCTTTTGTAGCTTATTTCTAAAGCATAGGCTGGGTGAAAGAATTCTAGTGTGCTTGTTGGATGATAGATCTAGGAATTGAATTAAAGCCCACTTCTTACCACTTTGTTTCGTTTCTCTTGCTCACTAGAAGCTCATATGAAGTTTTCTCTTTTATAGATGCAAGCTACTCTCTCTCTTTTGAATGTAGTGGTGCATAGTGTGGCTACCCAAACTAGAGGGGGATGATGTAGTCACCACCTAAATTTTTGGAAAATGAGAATTTTGGAAAATCCAAAATTTTTCAAGAAAAATGAATGTTTTCTTAGGGAATGGGGACCAAGGTACAATGTGGGCTGGGAAGATGTTAGGCAACCCAAACGCACCCGATTAAACCGGCCTCTACTTGACTAATATTTTAAGGAATATTTAATAATTTTGGGCTTTGACAAGTAATAAACCACACTATTAAATTAAAAAAGAAACTAGTTGTAATCTAACAATTAATAAAATAAAGAATAAAACACTAAACAAAGGGATAACCATTGAACAATTAACTAAAATATATAAACTATGACAATCAAAACTGGTGAGTGGAAGATTGAAGAAATAGGCTAAAAACTAGCTAACAGAAATGATAGGAGCTCCAAATGACAAATACGTGCATGTGACCTAAGATGCAATGCCATAAATGGTGGCTTAAAAATGTTAAAGTAAAAAGATCAATATGATACTGTGAATGAGCACGGAATTTCTAACTTAAGCTGATGCTAATATGAGGAATGAGGAGGACTTTCTGCTACTAATTAGCGCCAGTAAAGACCTAATTGAGAGAGAGAAACAAAATGTGTTTTCTAAAGAACATTAAGGAATGTCAAAAAATAAAACGGGTCATTAATAAAAACAAAAAAGCGGTGGAGTTTAAAGGGGACATGAGATCCGAAAGCAATGAAATGTGATGATCTAAATGCATAAAAACTACTCTAGAAATGGCCAATTAAATAAACTGATGGTTGGGAAAGGCATATAATAATAAATTTTAAACAATGAAGAGATATGAGCAACATAACATTCGTCTTCGATCGGATGGCTGGAAGGCCAATTAATCCTACAAGACTATTAAGAAGATAACAAATTATTTCCATCTAAAACAATTTAGAAAAACATCTTCCTTAAAAACAGAAAAAAAAGTAAATAAATCTTTTCTACAAACTCTGTGCAAAGACTACTATCCTTGTGTTACGTTCAGCAGCTTTCTTACTGATTCCTCTATCCTCAGTTGATGCATTCCTCGGATGTTCATGAAACGTTGGAGCCCTCTCCCATACTTGGTGAGGATTCTTGATCGTTCTGAAACCCAAAAATAGTTTATGCAGCCCAAAATGCAAAGAAAAGTCTGCTCAATGGTTGTAGTCTTCTTGCAACACTTTTTCAAACTCAAGTTGAATTCAGCATCGTCTCTCATTCCACCATGCCCGACCTGGTAGTATCTGGATTTAGAGTGACATGAAAGGGTTATAAGGTTGTGAGAGGTCTCCCCTGCTTGGAATGTGAATAGGGTGAGTAAAAGTCTGCAAATGGTGACAGCACTGCTGTGAAGTATGATCGATTACGAGTGACATAGGGAGGAGTTGTAGGCTTCGATCTTCACTCCGTAGACGTGGGGGATGGATTTCTGGATATGGATGTGAAAGGGCATAAGATGGAGAATGCTTGGGACGTGAATGGGAGTAACACTTAAATAGAAAGTGTAGAGTTCTCTCTCTAGGTTAAAATGTGTGTGCTTGGGTATTTATAGAGTTTTTTGGGGTGGGGGGTGATTCTAAAAAGGGAATGGGTGAATTAGGTTTGAGCTTGGGTGTGATTACGAGGCATTATTCAAACTTAACAGTCATTAATTGTTAACTATCTTTTTAATGGTCACAATGTTTGAAATTGTGACTGTTCAAAAAGTTTTTTCTGAACCAACACTTTCCTCTATTTCATGACTCTTTAGAAATTATTTAAGGAGTGTGAATCAAGCAAATTTGCACACAAGCTTTTCGAAAATCACTCGTCTCTCTTTATTCGATCTGTTATTGTCTCATAGAAGGTTTCTTTGGAGAATTTTCAACTTTGGTGGTAGCAGACTCTCGTCCAAGACTGTTATATTATGAGAATGAATTTGCCTGTAACCCACCAGCAAATTCATCAAATCTGAGTGGGGGCAAATAAAATTGGTAGCAAAAAATTTTGGTAGAGTAATTGCACAACTTGAGTATGCTAATGCAATAAGAAGTCTGATGTATGCTATACTTTGTACTAGACCTGATATTGCATTTGTAGTAAATAAACTTAGTTAGTTTACAAGTAATCCCAATGTAGAGCATTGGAAGGCAATGTGATCTAGTTGCATTAAAAGGGTACATTGATGCTAATTGGATTACTAGTAATGAAAATAACAAGTCTACCTCTAACTAGACTTTTGTCCTTGATGGAGGTGCGATCTCTTAGGCATTCAAAAGACAAACTTGCATATCTAACTCGACCATAGAACCCAAATTCATAGCCTTGTGGCGACTACTAGAAAAGATGTTGGCCAAATCCTATGCCTCAAATTTCCATTTAGTGTGATAGTGAAGCAATTTTTTCGAGAGCCTATGGTGGTACCTACAATGGTAAGTCCAAGCATATAAGTCTGAGGCATGAATTTGTTAGTCAACTAATTTAAGATGGAATCATCACTATAGTCAATGTTCAAAATATCGATACTGGCATATCGGCCTGTATCGGTACTATTTTTATGTTTTTATTTTATTTTTTTTTGAAACTGGTTGAGAGGGGCCAATTTAAGGACAATATACCCTTTGAACCACTTGCCAACCCAAAACACCCTCTATAGGGGCTTATCGAGAAGGCTCCAATACAATACATATTAGCCGATATGTGACAAAATTTTAATCCTTGACTATAACTTATGTAAGGTCAACTAAAAGCTTGACTAATCCTCTTACCAAAGGTTTGCCTTGAAAATTGGTAAGAACGATAACTAAAGAGATGTAATTAAAATCCTTCACTTAGTCACCAGTAATGATAACCTGCCCTCATAAAACATCATTCTATTTAAAATATTATTTATATTTTAAATTTTTTTCTTTATTTTAATTGAATCTATTTAAAAAAAAGGGTAAATTTCTTAAGCTACCCTTATGGTTTAGCTAATTGATTAAGGCTCTGTTTGATGATTAAGGCCCTGTTTCATAAATACTTCTTAGAAGTACTTGTTTTAACAACCCTTTACGCTATTTGGTAACCCACTTTTTCAAATCACTTATTATGTTTTTAAGTACTTATTGGGGTGGGAATGTTTGGTAAGCTACTTTCCTCATAAGTGCTTATATTTATTCAAATGACAATTTTAGCCCTCACTTCTCTCATACATATATACAATACTTTTCAATAATAATAATAATAACAATTAATCATAATAATAATATAGATAATAATTATAAATAATAATAATAACTAATATTAACCATAATAATAATAATAATCATAATAATTATAAATGATAATAATAACTAAAATTAATAGTAGTAGCAGTAATAATAATAATAATAAGACGATGAAGAGGAGGAAGGTTGTTGCCACTACAACTCCCTTATTCTCCCTTCGAGCAATAGAGAGCGTCGACAACCTCTCCTTAGTCTTTCTCTCCCTCTCCCTCTCTCTCTTTCTCTCTCTCTCTCTCCTTTTCTTCTTCTTCTTCTCCTTTGTTTTTGTTCTTCTATAACCACTAAACCATGAACAAGACACTGTTCATCTTCCTCTCCAAAAGAGAACCAGCAGTAGCTGAACGTCTCTCTTTCGATTCTTCGACATTGGAATGGCGGCGATTTCTAGATCGATCTCTGTTTCAAAGATTTGAGATTGAGCTACGAGCTCTGTTTTAGAGATCTGAGATCGAGCTACGAGCTATGTTTTAGAGATCTAACTTCAAAGCATAGAGGAAAGAGGCCAAATGATAGGTCCACCGGCCACGGTTCCTCACCGTCGATCATCGCCGGTGGACCTGTAACTGGTGTGCCGTTGCTACTAGGGTTTGAGGATTTGATGAGTGGAGAAGGGGGAGGTATAACCTCGTGGGGCTATTTTAGTCATTATACAAATTTGTCAGGGATTGGTTCGTCCTAATATTTTGGAGTACTTAAAAAAAGCCAACTTGAAGTCACTTTTTCAAAGTACTTCTTTAAAAAAAGTATTTTTCACCACTTTTTTACCAAACACCCATAAGTACTTAAAAACCACTTAATGTGTGGTCCCATGTCTTAAAAGAARTACTTCTTAAGAAGGTTTAGGCCCTATTTGATGATTAAGTACTTGTTACAAGAAGTACTTGTTTCAAATAACTTATTATGTTTTTAAGTACTTATTGGGGTGGGGATGTTAAGCTACTTTCCCCCTAAGTGCTTATATATATATATATATATATATATAATTTCAAAACCGCTTTCAACCCTATTGTTGTCGTTGACCAGAAACACTTCGACCAGAAAGCTGAGTGCTTATATATATATATATATATATATATAATTTCAAAACCGCTTTCAACCCTATTGTTGTCGTTGACCAGAAACACTTCGACCAGAAAGCTGAGTGCTTATATATATATATATATATACTTTCAAAACCGCTTTCAACCCTATTGTTGTCGTTGACCAGAAACACTTCGACCAGAAAGCTGCGATGGAGAACATCGTCGTCTAGATCTACTTTCAAATCCGCTTCTAGATAACAATGTCATTGTTATCGCCGTCAGCTGTAGGGTTGCGCCAGAGAATCGGTACCCGGCTGCATTTGAAGAAGGGCTCAAATTCTTGAACTGGTTGGGGTAGCAGGCGAATCTGATTTAGTGTGGTTAGCCTCCTGGGAACACACGCGAAGCTGGTGCTGATATCAGGACTCAGGAGATCCGATGCTCAACAGCGTATCCTGATACATTTGGAGCGTCAATTGTGGGACCTTCGTTGGCTGCTAATGGGGACCCTTCCAGGTTCCGTTCTAATCCAGTGGTTCCCCTTTCCTTCTCTGCATTCATTACACGTTTTGTCTACATAGGGATGTCCATTCTCTGCTTTGCATTTCTGAGGAAAAAACGAATTTTCAATCTTGATTTGAACTATAATTCTTGACTGAATGCTTATTTCGGAAAATTTTATCATATCTGTCATTCTGGACTGTGTTTCACAGAAGTGCGATGTGTACAAATTACAATTTCGGGGTGGTTTTGTTCGACTAAATATCAGGGATGAGGTGACGGGGAAATCACTTGGTGGGATCTGCTGTGTCTATTGTGCTGTGGACGGAGCTGTGTCCCCAATCAAATCCACTCGCATGACCTTAACCTTCTCCCACATCTCCGTCCATTGCACAGTGGACAGATCAGATCCCAGCAACAAAAGATGCATGGGTCACTGTCATTACTAGTCTAAGCCTCACAAGATTCAAATTGTATGACCTTTCCTATGCCGATGGCAGGCAAAGGAACAACTACAATCAGTACCAAAAAAGACGTTGCTGAAAGTGTTGCGCTCATCTTCGGGGTTACCGGGCTCGTTGGCAAGGAGATTGCCAACAACTTATTAGCCAAATCTGGGTGGAAGGTATATGGCATTGCTCGCAAGCCTGATTTCTTCACCCCCATTCAACATCGTAACTACAGGTTCATTTCGTGTGACCTCCTAGACCCTGTACAAACTGTGCAGAAGCTCTCTTCCCTGAATGGGGCGACCCACATCTTTTGGGTCACTTGGGCCAGCCAGTTCCCTCTGGACTCGTCGGAGTGTTGCGATCAGAACAAGGCCATGATGTCTAATGCCTTGGATGCTATTCTCCCCAAAGCTAAGGCACTGAAGCATGTCTCTCTTCAGACTGGGACCAAGCATTATGTATCTCTTAGCGGACCTTTTGACAACACAGTGCGACGCTACGACGAGGAGAGTCCCAGAGTCAATGAAGGCCATAATTTCTATTACATGCTAGAGGACTTGCTCATTGAGAAACTAAGGGGTAAAGTGTCATGGTCAGTGCACCGCCCAGGGTTAATATTGGGAAGTTCTCACAGGACTGCTTTTAACTTCATCGGTAGCCTCTGCATCTATGGGACGATATGCAAACATCTCCACCTCCCCTTCGTATTTGGAGGTGCAAGAGAGTGTTGGGAGGAGGTCTACATAGATGGTTCAGATGCCAGGCTTGTTGCTGAGCAACATATATGGGTATCAACGAATGATAATGTATCTTCAACAGATGGCCAAGCCTTCAACGCAGTAAATGGTCCAAGCTTCACATGGAAACAGATCTGGCCTGCCCTTGCTGTTAAGTTTGGATTGCAGGCAGCAGAAGACATGTTCTCGCAAGATTTTCTATTTTCAACTTCCATGGCAGACAAGGAAAGTGTGTGGGAAGACATTGTGGTGAAGGAGGGCTTACGACCAACCAAGATAGGAGACCTGGCTAATTGGACATTCTTAGATGTCCTGTTCCGGTTCCCAACAAAGCTACTGGCAGCTCGAGACAAGGTTGATCGGCTTGGTTTCACGATGACTTATGAGATGTTGGATTCCATATTGTATTGGGTGGATTGCATAAGGGATGAGAAGCTCATTCCTTAGAAGTTTGACCTCAAATGTGTCACTTGGTAGGGGGACAGTGTGGTGCACCACAATCCAGGCTATCTCGCTGATGTCTTTCCAAGGATTGGCCAAAGAGAATATGCTCAGGGATAAGCTGTTGTCCCATCCATTGCTGTTCTTATCATATTTGCTTCGAATGATAGAGACCCAAGTCTATCATGTTCTATTGGGAAGCACCAAAGCCATTTACCCAGTAGGGAAATATTCCTTTCAAGCCGATGACCTAATCACAGGCCGCCTTCCTTCCATCAACATGCAGAGCACTTTCCACCTAACTAAATGATCCCTTCTATAACTACCTCCCACCAAAAGATAATCACGTTTGCAGCTTCCTTATATGATTCCTCACCGTGGCTGCAGCTTTAAATAGAGAAAGTAAGTCAGCAGGTTGGAAAGGGTTTGCCTTTACGAGGGTGTCTTCCACCTTTTGAGAAATAATTCATCTTCCACGGATACAATCTCCTCTCACACCTGTACAGTGCAAGATCCAGGAAACTAACAGTCTTTGGGATTTCCATTCAAAGGTAGATCAAGATGCTTAACAGGCCACTTTTCCATATTACCCCCTCAAGGTCCTGCACATCTCCTCTGAGGAATGTGAATACTCATAATACTGCTTTTAGTTAGATTAGTTTTCAGACCCTTAATAGCTTCAAAATATTTCAAGGTTTTCACCAAATTTATGAGATTTTTTTTCCTCTCCTTCAAGAAAGATAATAGTATCACCTGCAATATATTGCCTAACACTACATTTTCTAACATATTAAACTAATTGAACATCTTAATCACCAAAAGAAGCAAGAAGTGAAAATTTTGATGCCCTGTAGTTCAGTTGAGTCCATTGAAGAGATTTCATTGCAAAATAAATATTCCAGCTCTGGACCTGGTTGCTTAAAATAAATATGTTCTTCTCAAACAATACATTATTTTTTTCCTTGTTATGTGGTCTCAATTTCTACCAACATTTGTTCTGGCGTCTTACTTAGTAATTGTTTGTTCATTCATTATATGCTAAGTTTAATAGTGACTATGCTTAGATTGATATGCCATAAAATCTGTGAATTGTTTTTATGTTGTTCTGCAGATTTTATTTTATTTTCTGATGGTTCTATCCACATCCTCTGCTCAGTTGTTCCTTTTGCGGGATTCTCCAGCATCACTTGCACCATTTGCTGCTGTGTTGATCATCCTAGAGGATATTTCAGACCCCTTTGGGGGGGGTTCTTTCTATTAAATGCCCACTGAAGTTGAATCCTTTGTTCTGTCAGCATCTAACTCTAGAGCTGTTAGTAATTCTAGTCTTGCTATTGCATGGTTAGAAGCAATATTGATTTAGTGACAGTTCCTTCTAACATAGCTCTTTCTTTAATATTTCTAGCTACTCTTTAGACCACAATGTTGGCTTGCCATGGGCCCAGACCAATCAAGTAGATTGAATTGAACCATCCACATTTCAGTTTGCTGTCTGGTCCATTTTTAAAGATTGATAAGCATTTATACCAATAATGATGATTATTCCAAACAAATAATAATGTAAAGAGTAAAGACTAAAAGTGTATTGATAAAAAAAGTGATTCTTGATGAGCCTAGGGGTGATCATGGGCCCGGCTGGGCGCAGGTCTAGATTACAAGCCCTGGCCAGCCCTACATGGGCCTGGATTGAGCTTATGGACTTTCTGGTCCTAATGACTTTGAGCCCATGGCACCTTATGAGTTATGATAATAATTTAGCTATTTATAAATTTATAAACTAAATAACAGATAATGCATTAAAAAAAATATTGTACCAGATCAATCTAGGCTGGGCTTGGCTAGGCTTTGGGCCTATGGCACAGAAAGCATGGGCCTCATTTAATTCCTAGATTAGCTTGGTTTGGCTTGGCTTACCTATAATTTTATAGATGAAGGTAAGGCCTTCATTCCCATTCTTGAGTAATGTGAACTAGAGAAACACTCGATAGTGAGTGTTAAGATTGAGTGTTATCTCAAGTCCCACATTGATTAGGAATGAAAATGAAGGCCCTTGCCTAGGAGGATAACTCTCATCCTTGAGTTGACTCATGTGTTCAACTCATGAATATTATTTATTTACATGTTAAAAGTTTTATATTTTATGTAAAATAATAAACATTTAATATGAAATAAAATATATAATATAGATTTAATATACAAAACATTTAGTGTATGTAATTTATTGAAAGTAATACATAATATAATATAATATAGTATAAAAGTGTTATGTATGTATTTAATAATATGTATTATATTATATTGCAGGTTGGACCTGGCTGGGTTTCCAAGCTGGGCCAAGAATGATTACCCCTAGATGAGCCCACTCTTGTACTTTTTTGGAGGGTAAGGGGGCATGAAAGTAAGACTTTCCTCATTGCTTCCCATTATATCGGCCAATAATTTTATCACACTTTACCTGAGTCATCTGCTGTTCATTTTTTCATTCTCCATGTAGATTTGTGGTGGAAAAATTGATATTGTCCGTACACCACTGCCTGGACTGAACTTTTTTATAAATTTATTGTATTACAGTTTACAGAGAACATGATTCTTGATAGAGCACAATAGTGGGATAAGATTCATGCACCAACCTCAAATGGCTGGGATTAATGCTGAGCTTAATTGAGTTTGCGTTTTAGTTTGCAGATGCCATATCTTCAAAGGGTTTCAGACAATTCATGAGAATGGCTGTCTTTTGAGGTTTTCTGACGTCCAGAATTACATGTAAACAAATTTTGAAAAATAAATGATAATGCAACCGGAGTTCACCACCAAAAAAGGGTCAGTGAGGTATACAAAAGCAAATGAGAAACGCAGAGGGTGAAGGAAGAATATAAGAAACAAGTTACAACTTACAACTCGATGTAAATAATGTTCTCAAGATCAAAGTTAGAGATAAGAGGGAAAACATGCAAGTTCAATCAATTAATCCCTGCCTTATCTCAACATATAATATAAATGAGACTTAGGTCAATTCCTGTAATGCAATTAATGGTCCCTACTTTCAAAGGAAACACCCATAAAAGGGTGTTCAAAAACAAGAGATTGAGGATGGTTGAATGGGTGCTTAGAAGGGGAGTTTAAAGGGGCTAGTCATATAAGACAGTAGGTAGGGGCGTCAGTGGGTTGGGGTTAAGAAGTAAACCCAGCATTATAGAACTTGGTCAACCTTAACAAGCTTTCTGGTTGGGGCTCCTGTTGACATAGCTGCATTGAAACATTCATAAATATAGCATTGGTTGAGTACTTGAGTATGGTTCAGAGGGGTTGGTCTATGGCCCTTCTACCCCCTGAATCAGGTTAAACCCTTTAGGGGAATGTCAGGAGGCTCCCGATATAATACGTATCGGCCGGTACACTGATGTTACATATCAAAATTTCAAACCTTGCTTGAGTATAGACATATTATCTGTGGGACAAGTCGGGGTAGGCTCAGGTTAGTGTACTCTCGGTAGGGTTCAATATTTAAATGTGAGTTTGGAAAGCAAAGAATAAAAAAGAAACCCGAATTGGAACAGCATTTGGGTCTAGTCTTCTAGCAATAATTTGGGCCTTAAATCAAGGGGATTAAAATTGTAATCTCATTTTCCATCGAGATATCATCTGTAACATGTAACATGTTAGATTTCAATGAAACCACCTGCTCCCTTGAACCCGGTTCTCTTTGTCCAACACTCCCAAGTTTGCAGAGTGAAGGCCAGCCAGTCCTCTTCGATAGTTAAAATTTAGATGGTTTGCTACACTAAATTTACAGTAACTTTCTTCCGGACAATTCTCTTTCTCCATGTTTTGGGTGGTAGAGAAGCCTCCCCTTCAGCAGTAGAATCACCCTTAACTCTGTCTAGTGCCAAGGAGTCCTAGCCGGAAATAACAGCATTCTTTGAGATGAATCACTATGAAGTTTGAAGAAGGCTTTGCAACAGCCTCAGATGGCCTGTTGTATGCCTTCAACAGGTTGTCTCAAATCTGACTGAATCAGTGGATGTGCCTCTACTCCAAACCAATGTCTCTCCAATTTGAACATTCAGAAGCCTACACGCAATACATTATAATATTTAGGGGTGCAACTTAGGCAGGCTTGGGTAGGGATTTTGTTAAAATTTAAATCGACCCGGCTTGGAAGACTGCTCAATGCAGTGTTAATTCTTCAAATTGGGTACCCAACTTGCAATCCTAACAATATTATATTCATCATCATTATCCAAGCCTTGTCTCGACAGGGTTCAAGATAGCAGACACCAATATGTTTTTTTATTGAACCCTTAAAATAAGAAAATAATAAATTAGAAATTAGTATATAAAACCTACAAATTGAATATTTTGGTTTAATAATATCTATTTAATTATTATAATATCAAAAAAAACAAAGAATATAGAAGTGTTCAAGAGTGGCATGTGCAAAATGGGTAGGCAATTAATTGAAGCGACCATCCCTGGGCACCTTATCACCTTGAAACATTGAGGCATATATGGGAAGTATGATTGAATCAGTAAAAAGCTTGAAACATTTAGGCATTTCAAGTCTACATGCTGAACCAGTATTAACAGTTGATTTCCTTTACTCGAAGCTTTTATTTCCAAGTTATTAACAAATAACATACTAATAGTAGTTCAATTTCTTTCTTATATTCAAATGTGATGCCATTTAATCATTTTTGATATTTCATACTGCAGGATATATAGTTAAACCAATTTTAAACAATGCATCAATTTCTGTGGTCCTCTTTTCATGGTTTAAAAAGGGGAATATTTTTTCATTCATCTAGCTTTCTTTCTCAGGTTGCATAATGCCTGGGGAAATTCAAGACCACAATCTTCACACAAATGAGAATGTTGCCATCAAACATGGAGCATTGAGCTATAAATCTTGGCCAAGGCTTCCCCAATTTTGATGGCCCCAAATTTGTGAGAGGCAGCCATTTAAGCTATTAGAGAGGAAAAAAATCAATATGACCAGGGATATGGTGTTCCTTACCTCAACTCTGTTGTTACAGCCAGGTTCCAGAATGACACTGCTAGTAATAGATCCAAAAAGAGAGTCGTTTGGTAAATCATTTTTGAAAGATCTTCTTAAGGCTTTGACAGTTAAAAGATGTAGTGAGCTTTTGTATCAATATCTTGATAGATTGAAGGCCGTTTAGTTAAGGTGTATCTTTCTACATGAAAATGAGTTGAAAAAAAAAAAAACTGAAAAGCTCTATTTGGAGCTTCCAAAAAATAGTCCAAAATGGGCTTCGTGCATCTCTTTGGCACAATGCCCTTTGGTGGCTAAATCTCCTCCAAACCAAACGAAAAAGACCACAATACAATCTGCTGGACTTCTAAATAGCCGACAGACCATGCGGAAAGACACACCAAATGGGGCCTTACTGCTACCTTTGGGTGCACTGAAGCAGTTGCTGCAACCATATTAGGTTTCATAAATCCTGGTTATGAGGTTATTTCCTCTTTGCTCCATTTTTATGATTCTTATGAAGCCACCCTCTCAAAGGCTGGAGCTAAAATAAAAGAAATCACCCTTTGACCTCAAGAATTCGGTTCCAATTAATGAGATGAAGCCTTCTATCTCAAAGGATCCTCGTGTAATACTGATAAATACTCAATGTAATAGCATTGCTTTGTATGGAGAATGATGTGTTTGGTCTTTACAGTTGAAGTTTATGACAAATTTGACATTTGAAGATGATCATATTTCTATGGCTTCACTTCCTGGCATGTATAAGAGGACTGTCACTATGAACTCTGAGAAAAACTCTCCTAACAGGGTGGAAGATTGAACGGGAAATAGCTCCACGGCTCCACCACATTATCTGACATAACTCACCTTTACCACCTCAACTCCGATGCAGAATGCAGCTGCTGCAGCTCTTTGTGCCTCTGGTTCATACTGCGAGAGAATCATATGGCAAAGAAGGCAATTTTGGTGGAAAGACTCAAGGCTGATGTTAGTTTCTAGGCATTCCCATCAAGTGGTGCCTACTTTGAGTGATAGATCATACTTCTTTTGAATTGGAAAATGATACTGCTTTTTGTGAGTTTCTGATCCAGAAGGTGGGTGTAGTAGCAATACGGCAATACCAACCAGCATAGCATATTCTATCTTCAAGGTTCACATTCTGCAAAGATGAGGACACGCTGAACGGTGCAGTTGAAAGAATGAAAAGAGAATCTGAGGCTTCCTGAGAGTAAAAGATGACCAGGTGAATCTATTTTATTTATCTATGTTCAATTGCATTGGAACCAAAGGATTGTATGCACGTTCCATAAGGAGCCTGGTCGTCATTAATAGGTTGAAGGCATTTATTTTTTAACAAACCATCTTCTATGGATAAAATTAGTTTAGGGATTCTAGCAGATAAGGGCAACTTTTTACATAATAATGTCAATAAAAAGTAATATTTTTACATAATAATCAAAATAGGGTAACTTTTATTGGAAAAATATCAAAAAAGGGCAGTCACCCGTCTTCTTCCTCTTCCTCTCTATTCACCCGCTTCGACGGTGCAGGAGGGGGCAGAGGAGGTGTTCCCATGGGCTGCCCAGGCGGGAAAGAAGGCAGAGGAGGAAGACGACCAACAGTATCGACTGCCCATTCAAACAAAGGCAGTGTCACTGTTGATCGTCTTCAGGTTCACGGACCTCCTCATGGCGATGGCTTACAGTTTGCAGATCTGTGCTTCAGATGCAAATAATCGTGGTACGCCAGTACTTCCTCCGGCGTCGGTACTGCTGCTGGGTTCACATCAATATGTATTCTGGGTTTCTTCTTCAGATGCACAAGAGAGAGGGGTGTGTGTAGTATAGTATAACCTCCATGGATGGGTATTTCCATTTCAACATTAATGGAAGTTGAGATGTGCAGATAGCTGGGATCCGATTGAAATGATTGATTTTCTTGTTTTCTTAGCTCGAATTTGTTTCCCAAGCTCTGTTTCTCAGTTGCTACGTTTAATCCCCTACATTTATTGAATGTCTTGATATCAAGTCCTGAAATTTACGATCGCCGGACGACTTACACAGAGGCAGAGGAAGATGATCAACAATGACACTGCCCTTGTTTGGAAGGGCAGCCGACACTGTTGGTCCTCTTCCTCCTCTGCCTTCTTTCCCGCCTGGGCAATCCATGGGAACGCCTCCTCTGCCCCCTCCTGCGCCGTCTAAGCAGGTGAATAGGGAGGCAGAGGAAAACGATCAACAGTGATACTGCCTTTATTTGATATTTTCCCAAAAAATTACCCCATTTTAGTTATTATATAAAAATAGTATTTTTTTATAGATATTAAGGACAAAAAGTTGCCCTTTTCTGCTATTATCCCTAAAGTTTAAGGCAAATATGTGACAGCTGAGCTAGTACAAGGCTGGCCACAACCTTTTGTACGAGCATGTCGATTAGTTAAACTAGATATGCTCACTTTAATCTTCGAATTTGAAAGGGAATATAGAAAATTTCAAGAAACTGAACAAGGATTGCATATTGGTACCATTCCTGTTTCTACTTGAAACAGTTTTATCCATGCAAACTGATGAAATATGAATCATTTTTAGCTATAAACAGCCTCAAATAATAGTTGTATGCCAATTAGCATTGATCAAGACAATATCTTTGGGGCAGAGAGGGCAAAGATACCAAAAACTACCTTCTCTTCTTTGGCTGTGTTTTCTAGTTTCTTTCTTCATCATTATAGTCTATGGGGCCATTTGATAATAAAAGTTGCTGATTGACGTACAACTATTATTTGAGGGTTGTTTCTGTCCCAAAGGTTCAGCCACAACATCATTGTCAAGTTTACTAAATAATAACTACTTAGCGGTGAATGGAACCACACGAGTACATGACAGATTAAACAGACACATAGTACACCTCTCAACCAAAATCAGATAAGAAACTGCTGGAAAAAGAACAAGTCCATAGCAAGAAAATCACTACCCAAAAAAACAAACAAAAGATGCCCATTGGATAAGATTTCTATTTTATTTTATTTTTTTCTGTTGGAAGTCTTACAGCAGCTAGATATCTTGTCCAATAAGCACATAGGAGCCAATAATTCTGCAAATATTAAGGCAAAGAGGGAAAAGTAATTTACTCCTGGCAAACTGTCACACTGCACTAAGCAGAACCCTGAAAAAGAAAATCCACAATAAAAAAAAACGAAAACATATTTGAGGGCGAAGGCCAAAAACAGGAGACTACATTTATTCAATATTTGCCTCAAAAGGGTTTGGATTCCGAAATGAAACCCGTGCCACAATTTACGCAAACAATAGGCAACAGAAATTAAACCCCCTCATTGGTGGGCAAAATTCTCATCCCCTATTTCTAAATAGAAATTTAAAACTTGGAAATCTATGGCATCAAACTAATGACTAAGCTGGAAAAAAATGCTACGATTTGATACCTCTCTATATGCCTCTCCTTACAATTGTCAAAAGCACGCAATTCAAGCATCTTCTGCTTTGGCAGCAAAAAAATCACCATCCACACAACTGGTGTGTTGCTTTTACTTCCATCAACTGCAGTACTTCCTGTTCATTGGATGTTCCTCGGGGTACAAAATTGGTCTTTGATGTCATGAAGAGAGTTTACTAAGCTGAACTTGCATTGACTTTCTTCCTGACAATTCTCTTTCTCTTGGGTGGTGGAGAAGCGTCCCCTTCAGCAACAAAATCACCCTTCCCCTGCTTTATGCCTAGGAGTCCTAGCCCAGAAATAACAGCATTCTTTGAAATGAACCACTTTGAAGAAGGATTTGCAACAGCCTCAGATGGTCTGTTGTATGCCTTCAACAGGTTGTCTGACTGAACCAGTGGATCTGCCTCTACTCCAAGCCAAGCCAACTTTGATGTCTCTCCAATTTGAACATTCAGAATCCTGCATTCGATACATAACAATATTATATTGAAGAATATTTTCTTTATTTTTTGATAAAATGGACAAGGTTCCACACAAGATGGGGGGTAGTGCGTTCCCAGAAATCAAGACTAATTGAAGAATGTTTTCTTATGACAGCATAGATCTACAAATTTTACATCTTATGCTTGATCTCTCTCATTCTTTATATATAGTTGTTTTTTTATCAGTGATACGTAGTTGATGAATAAAAGAACATTGATACTAATTTAGGGTGTCTTATGTAAGGAGACTGCTTTGAGTACTGGAACAGTGCATTGATTGGACATTCATACATGTTTCAAAGATACTGATGAACTGAAGCAAACAAATATCAGTCTATCCGTCATGGAGAGTAGTCCTAGAGCTTACAATCAGTGTAATTCTATAACTTAATCAACAGACATTGGTCCCTTGGTTCACTGTTGTGGAGAGTTGTGCACATTAGTTGTTTTTTGGATAGTAAAAAGAAAATATTATTAATGAAAAGAAAAATATTACAATCTGAAAGGTGTCTAGGTAACACCGGTTATCATACAAGATAACCTGGTGCAGATTATTTTGGTCCCTGCTTAGGTCTCATAAAAGATATTTACAGGCACTAAGTTGTCACTTAATAGAAAATCCTAACAACAGGCTGGGTAGTTTTATTCATTAAGCCACATCCCTAGCTCAGCCAATGTGGCTGCCAAAACATCAGCAAGAGTGCAACTGGAGTTTTCTCATTTTATTTTTTATTTGCTCATCATAAGGAGACATTTGTACTGCAGTCTTAGTAATAGAAGAGGGAGTTACCAATAGGAAAATCAGAATCGATATTAGAAAAGCAAATCCATAAAAAAGAAATGGTAAAGCCATAAGTGGAAAGAAAACTTAGAACAATAATAATTGCTCAATATTCTCACTAAGATAAGTCACTCCAGAGAAAAGGTAAAACATTACTATCTAGATTTGTAACTTTCTATAAGCACCACAAAATAGTAAAAGAAAAGGTAAAACATTGCCATAAATACATAATATAAACTCACAGAGAAAAATTAGGGTACATTTGGTTCTTAGGAATAGGCGCCTAGAATCAGAAATGGAATGGCCCAATCTGATTCCAATCATTTGGTTGATCAGAATGGGATTCCCATTCCCATTCTAGGCAGAATGGGATTATGGCCATTCCCAGCTTCCCGCACCCCCCCCCCAAGGAATGTGATTCACATTCCATCTCCTCCCTCTTCTCCCTATTTTTTTGACAAAAGAAAACCATTTGATCCAAACCCCTAATCAACCAAAGTCCTCACCGTTTCACAGGCATTCCTCCCACGAGGTAAGACCAGTCGCCAGCCGGTTGTCTTTCCCCTGTATCTCTATTGCCCTTCCTCTTCTTTCTCCCTTCTTCTCTCTTCTTCCATCCCCTCTTCTTTTTCTCCATCTTCCTCCTCCCCTCTCCTCTCTCCCCCTCTTCTTCCAAACCAAAGCCCAGTCCAACAAAGTTGGAATCTGCCCCCTTTATCCTTATGTGCTTTTCTTTAATAGGGGCAAATTGGAAATTTTGGCTGATTCTGATTCCGGATTCTAGTTGAACCAAACAGCAACAATTGGAATCCGATTCTGATTCCCAACTGAACCAAACAGGCATCAGGAATAGGTGATTCCGATTCCTGGGAATTCCGACTCCAATCCTGTCCACAAACCAAATGAACCCTTATATTTTATGCTAATACTTGGATCATCTCTAAATGTAACATTCATGCTTGGGAAGGCAAGACAAGTGAACATAAAAGAACAATCATATGAAAACCACCTGAACAACTACCAAGATAAGATTTATAAAGATGATAGCTTCAGCAGAACCACACCTCAATGTTGTGCTAAAGAACAGTGCTACTCCAATAACATCAAAATAGTTTATTGTTGCTCTGTCAATTCCACATAATAGCTGGTACCGTAAGTTTGCATAAAGTCCCAAGAAAGCCCCATAACCAAGAGCATTGGTACTCACAGTTGGAATTGTCACAGATAACCTGCCAGATAAAGCAATCATAACTAAGACAAATAGTTCTAGAAGAGTGGCTCGATTCAACAAATGGAATTAACCAAAATTAAATAATATTAAGGGAACCATTGCCAACTAAATGGTTTACCTTCCTTCCTTCTTACTAGCAAAAAGTTTTGACAAAGCACCCTGGGCTGCTCCAGCAGTTAAACCAAGCATACATAACTCTGCAGCCTTGTAGAAGAAAGAATGAATTCTCTTTTGCAAGTCAAATTCTCGGAGGGGATAGCTTTTCTCAAAAATGTTGTTTGGAAGCTTCTGCAGTGTATTTTGCAAGTCAAACCGAAAAGTATTCCCATACGAACGGCAAGGAGCAAGAGACCAAACAACAATAGCATTGCATGCTGATACTGTTAGCACATTAAGAAGTGCCAGATCCCATTCCTGCTTTATCCTATAATTGAAACAATGCACAAAGACATACACTGAATGATTACCAGATAAGATGCAATATACATTTCTAGGAAGGTGAAAATTTACCTTTCTTTTCGATTCTTCAGCTCCCACCAAACAGAACAACCAATTGTAGTAGCTTGCTCTAAAAGAAGCTTATACAAGAAGGCTGGATCTGCAATCATCCTGCTTGATAAATTATGAATCAATTACCAAGGGAATAGTTAAAATATTGAATAAGATGTAGACAACTCAAAAACGGTAACAAACTAAAGACAATATAAATGTGATGAAGTCTTGAAGAATTAAATGAACTTAGAGAACATGTTATTTTGTGCTCAATTCTGTTAATGTGTCATGAGAATCATAATGTACAAAATTTTCGCACGGGTGAATGCTCACATTGGTTCTTTCCTTCACATGATATTGCACTAAGAATCCTATATAGCCAATGTACCACATCAAACTAACTTTACAATATGAGTTCCTACAGGTGAATCTCCAATTTGGAATTGAAGCAGCATGCACCATATAAACATACAAAAGGCTACATAAATAGCCAAATGTATCTAACATAAAAACAATTATTAGAAACTTCATTGGTTGCTTTATATTCCTTTTCCTTTCTTCTATCTTCTTTGTCACAATTAACACAGAGCAAGATTGCATTGATTCAGGGGAATCACAAAAACAGTGATCTACAAAAATTTTTGTGGTTAGAAAATTAGCGAAAGCATTTTATAAGCTCAATTAAAAGAAACAACATAGTCTCTGATCATCTTTTTTTTTTGAGCACTGAGCCCTAATCAAACATACCTCTATGTAATATATACTAGAGAATAACAATTTACCAGGTAGAAGTCTTATTAACTCAGAGAGATGGTATCTACTAGAGACCAATAGTCTAACAGCTTTATCCATTTCCATGATAAATTCAAAGAAACAAACCCTGCGATCTATTAGCCTACAGTATTTGCCCAAAATACTAATCAGCACATCATAGTTGTCAAGGCGAGCGCCTAGGCGACAAGGCACCCTTTGAGGCTCGCCTCGCCTAATCGCCTAGCAGTTTTATACTTCCTACTATAAAACACTATTTTATTCATTTTTTTTGAGATTATAATTATAAAATAGACATTATTAAACTAAAATAATCATTTTGTGTGTTTATATACTAATTTCTTTTTATTATTTTCTTATTTATTAGGGTTTAATCAACACAAACATTGCTAAATGCTGTATTGAACCTTCAAGGA